CTGGGAACTCACACCCCCGTGGGCCTTCCGCCTGCACATTCTAGAGCAGCCTTTGCCAGGAGCCCCACCCCATCTCCCGAGGCGCCTGCCTCTGCACGTCTGCTCAGTTACAAGTCAGATGACCTGCCCAGCCTGAGGGGAAGGCAGGTGGGCTGTGTCTGTTCACAAACCACCACTCACAGACCCACCGGGGCAGCCAAGCAGCTTGGCCTCTGGGACCCACCCACGGGAGGGAGGAGGGGGGCATCAGTGCATCACCCCAGGAGGGAAACAGGCGCTCCCCCACCAAGTGAAGGGCTGGTGCTTCTCCAGAGATCCCCACCTCTAGTGCTTAACGCTGGGACCCCAGAGGTCACCTGACCCAGAAGCATCCTGCCATTGTCTCCACCAGGCTCTTTTGGGGGGGCTACGGCGACTGTCCACTTGGGCAAGGGAGGCCAGACTGGCACAAAAGCTCTTCAGGCGCCAGGCTGTTTTTTAACAGCCTCAGGCTTTGGATGCTTTTTAAAAATTTTAATTCCTATTGAAATGGTTTTTAGCAGTGTGAGGTACTGGAGTGGCATTCTGGACATGTTTCGCTGAAGGCTGCTACTACACATTTAGAAAAATACCGCACACACCAGGAACAGTACTGTTTGGAAAGAAACCAAAAGCCAGTTCCCTTTCTTCTACATATCCTCCTCCCCGCTCCCTGCCCCTGGGAGGGAAACCGGTGATGTCTCTCCCTGCGCCCGAGACGCCTGCCACCCACGGGTCCAAGCACCTCCTTCCTACCCACCTGTTGTGCACCAGCTCAGCCATCAGCTTGAGCACAGGAGTGGTGCAGGCTGGGTCGTGGTACCAGAGCTCAACGGCCCGCTGCAAGATAGGCATGTAGGAAGGATAGCTGTGGAGGAGAAGCTAAGGAGCGGCATGGCTTCCCAGATGTCCCTTTAGACAAGCCCCCCCCCCAACACCAAACAGGGCAGTCCGCTGCAGGAGCGCCCACCTCCAGCAGACCTTTGGCATTCCCAGCGCAGGTTGCTGGTCACAAGCTCAAGGAGAGGGCAGGAGATCGACTTGATTGAAGAGATCAAGTTCTGGGTAGGCTTCTTACAAGCCTTGCTATGCCCTCAAGGCATTTTAGCAGACGTTCCTTCAGTGGCGTGTTCCAACCACGCACTCCCTGCAGGCGTTCTCTATGGGTTAACTGGGAGAGGGAACAGGAGGCATTCTACCAGGGGCTCCGTGTTGCCTACCCACAGGTCCTTGGCCAACCCACCACCACCACCACCACCCCGGGGGGAACAGGAGAAAGCCTCCAGGAGGGGCATCCCAGCAGCCGGTGCCTGAACGGAGCAGTCTCAAGGTGGCTCCTGGAAGGCAGGAGCAGACTTCAGAACCCACTTGCCCGCCCAGGGAACCCCTCCCTCCCTCTCTCTCTGGTGACCAAAGCGGGGCTGGGGGGGGAGGGGATGCACAAAGGTGATGAAGGATACATCCACTCGAAGAGCATCATAAAGCTGGTCTTGGCGTTGAAGGCAAAGGCGATTCCCCTCAGGTCTCTCACCAGGCCAACCAGCGTTCTCTGGAAGAGGGAAAGAGGCCGGTCAGGGAAGAGAAGCATTACTAGCCCCTCCTCTCTCCTGTATCCACAGAGAACGTTCCCATTAAGAATAACCCCAAGGAACAGAAGAAAAATATCTTGGGGCCCAGGAACGGTTCAAGGCAGGCTTTCTTTTCACCTTATTAAAAATGCAGTTGCATCTGGGGGAGCAGAGAACCGCTCAGGAGCAGGCTAGAGGGAAGCCTGTCGTCGTGCCAGCCTGCGCAGTTTATATAAGCCCTACCTTGAGTGTGCCTTGGGGAGTCAACCCTGCTTCCAAGACGGGGTCCCTGTTCCCAGTTCTGGGCACTTCTCATCACCAGAGGTATCCGTATTGTGTGTGGCAGAGAGCTATGTATGTAAGCCAGGCCCCCAATACATTTGGGACACGAGGTGGCCGTCCGCTGCACGAAGCCATGGGAGGGGCTGACTGAGCACAGGGAGAAAGCTGGGACCTTCCTTACTTTTGCCTCTTGCTCGTTGAAGGTGTTGGTGCTAAACATCTGGGCCACAGTCTCAAAGGCAGCTGTGAGGGGCAGCATGAACTGCTCGTACTGATCCTCATCCTCCCCTGGAAGAAAGAGCACCTTCTATAGCCTTCTGCTCTGCAACACCCTCTACACATCTGGGGCCACCGGCGGCAGCAGCACCGACCCCCCCCCCGGCGGATCCTTCTCGCCAGTCTTTGGCCAATAAAAGCATCTCCAAGGAGAGAAAGGCCAGCTCTCGGGATGGATGGAGAACATCACAGCAAGGCAAGGGGTGACTCTTTCCCCGAGACCCGTCAGTTCTACAGAGAGATCAGCCATGAGCTACCCTCATGGCCCCTAATTCATCCTTCAGTCATGATCAGAACAGGGAAGGTGCGGCGTCCTGTTCTCGGGGTCTGCAAGAAGGGGGTGCCATACCTAGGTCCACCATGAGGAGACGCCCCAGTGCAGTGTAGAAAGTTGTCCGGCATCTCATGTCACTCAGGTTGGACTGATTGTTGATGCCCAAGAAGGAAAAGTGCTCACTCTGCACAAGAAGAGAACCCGCGTTAGCCAGGAGCCCTTCGTCGGGCAGAGGAGGGCACACCGAAACATGGGCCAGGCAGAACCTAGGCTCTCTTCGCCACGAGTTTAGGAACAGGGCATGGTTTTGGAGATGGAAGCTCTCTAGTCCTCCAGATTAATGACTGCCAACCCTGGGTCAGCCCAGTGTCCTTGGACTGCAACTCCCAGAAACTCTGGCCAGCACAGCTGGTGGTAAAGGCTTCTGGGAGTTGCAGTCCAAGAACACCTGGGTTACCCAAGGCTGGGAACCACTGCTCTAGAGGGGTTTTTTTAATGCCAAGCACACGCACACACTCACTCTTTGCACTAAAAGCAATTTTAGTTGCCAGACAACTATGCTTGTTCCGTCTTATCTATCGTACTTCAGTTGTGCTGAAGTCCAGGTTCAAGAGATATGGAGACACATAAAGAAGAGAGAACAGGCCAGAATCAGAGACCAGAGACCTTCGGGTAGTGTGGGCGGCATATAAGTTAAATAAATAAATAAATAAAATCATGAGGGAGCCTGCAGACCAGAGGTTCATGGCGGCTGGGGTTAAGGTTCATGGGACTTCGGTGTAGAGAGGAAAGGGGCCGTTTTGGACCAACCACTGCTATTCGGCTTCACCTCTGGGCACGGAAATCACAACTCGGCAGGGAGGCTGGCCACTTTTTTACAAGGTGGGAGCAAAGGCAGCTCTCTCTCTCTCTCTTTCCAGGCTACTGACATCCCACACGCAATTAACACGGGGGCAGAGGGACCAAATAAACTTTCTGAAGGTGCGTCATGTTTGTGAACCTCCCAAGGGAGCGGACTTAGAAGTCCAAAGCCATCCCAAGGGAGCGGACAGTGAAACATGTCCAAGAGCATGCATTCAAGAGCCCCGCGCCAGGGGCCATGGGATGATGCCCTGTGTGTTTTGCAGAAAAGCAACCAAGAGACGGCAGGACACCAGGGCTCTCAGGGGGAGACCCTGAGGTCTGTCAGTGTTCAGGGAAGGCCATGCGCACAAGCCCCCTCCCCTCTGAAGTGGCAGTTCCCCAGAGGGGCCCTTTTGGGAACCGCTTTCACAAACAAAACACTCAGGGACACACCTCAACAGCGCCAAAAATGCGAGTGTTGCCAACTTACTGTGTGATTGTTCAGCATGAACTGCACGGCGCTCAGTTTCACCAGTTTCCTAACACTGCTGTAGGTAGAAAGGATGTTAAGGAAACAGCCCAGGAAGTCATTCACCCTTTAAGCAGGAGGTGGACAAATATTCAGGAAATGGGGTCCTAAGATTTCTGCAGCTGCAAAACTTGTGGCATGGGGAATAGCAAGCACTTGCCTGCATTCCTTTCAGAGGAGGGGAGGTGTTAAGGGTTAGATTCTGAAAGACAGCAGACCTATTGTGAGATTTCTGGCTACACCACCATCTTCAGTCTGGGCCGGTCAGCTAGTAAGCTCTCCCAAGCACACGCTCTGCAGGCATCTCCTTGATGTGGGCCAGCGGGAGGTAGAGAACATATCTGTGCTCGTGGAGATCATCTAGTCTGTTAAGCAAGGAGGTGGAGCAGGGAACCTGCCAGCCCCCTTCCAAGGCTGCAGTTCATGGTTTGCTTCCTGTCCGACTCATGTTGGGGAAACTCCTCCGGCTTCACTTTACCTTCATGCACGAACACAGAGTCAGTCAAGATAACCCACCTTCCCTGATAGAAGGTGATTTCCTGGCATTCCCTTGGGGATCTGTAGGTTGGCCATCCTGGAACAGCCTAGATCGCTCAGCAGCAAAGATGGAAGAGAGCTAATTTTTGTCAGGACGAAGAGAAAGGGAGCAAGCAAGGGGACTCAGAGACAAAGCAAAGCTGCAAAGGGTCTGGCAGTGGGGAAGTGGCATCCGAGGAAAGCCGCCTGGCTCTGCCGCACAGAGCGGCACGCTTCCCGTGACACTCTGGGGCCCTGGGTTGGCGCGGCCCTGCTGCTGCCACGGCCCCAACCAAGACACGTTGGCTGCAAAGGATATCCAATGGAAAGGTCATTGAGGAGCTGCAGCGTCTTGGAGGTGATGGGCTCACACCGGCCCCAGTACTTCAAGTTGGTGATGCTGCAAGGACAGAAAAGGGCACTTGAGATAAAAGCCGCTCCCGGGTATTCCCTCCATCCAGAAAAGAGGCGCCCCAAGTCAGAAGGGACTTGACGGCACCCACGTTCCTCCTCCTGGAGAGACATGGGCGACAGAAGCCGGAGAGAGACCACCAAAGCATCACTGCTCTACTCACACTGGGCTGAGCACAGAAGGTTCTCTCCTTCAGATGCCCTTTCCCTGCCTGGACCTCAAATGACCCCGGGCCACACTTAGGGGCTTGCCCTGTTTTCCGCTGGGAGGGCAAGACAATCCCGTATGCCGTACGTCGTGCCACCCCTTCACTCCCCACCGCCAGCTGCAGAATCCCAGGAGATCGGGGTGGGGGGTGGGGAGAAGGTTCCAAAGATCCACCATGAGGCAGAGAGCTGTCAGCCCCTCGGGGAGCCCCAGGGGCACTCAGCGCCGCCAGCCCTACCTCCAAGAAAGACGACATCGACAGTTCGAAGGGAAGCCATGCTGCTGGTCAGGCTGGCCCAGGACACGTGACCGCCTGGAAAGAAGCCAGAGCTTCTCCCTCCCCGACTGACCCTTTGGGCAAGGCGTGCACAGAGTGCCCAAGACCGGCATCTGGCTGCTCGCCACGCCTCCCAGAGGTGCCTGGAAGGCGGCATCACTTAGGTAGGATCTGGTTTGGCCACAAGCTCCTTTTTGCGCCTTAGCAGCTTGTTACCCTTCAGCTTCCTAAGAAGGGCGCGCCAACCCTAGGAGGGGGTCTTCTACATGGGGGGGGAGGGGGAAGAGAGTGCTGGGTGTGGGCATGTCTTCAGAGCCCCCCAGCCAATATGCTCGGCAGGAACTCAGGCACCCTATCAGGTCCTCCCCCTGCCCCCCCCCCTGTAAGCCAAGAGGCTCTGTTCTGGCAGGGTCTCTCTCCTGCTGTCATTGGCCAGAGAAGCTCACGGGGCGCCACGTGGGAACACTTACATTTTCCCTATGAAAACACTGAGGACCATGGTCTCGTCGTTGAGCCCCAGGACCTCTGAGAGCCGGCGATACAGCTAGGAGTGGAAAAGAGTCAAGCTTAGAGGCTGGAGCAGAATTTGCAACCTCTCCTGAAAGGAGACACCCGGAGGCAAGGGAAGCCCAGGCAACTGGCATCACCCTGCCAGTCTCTTGGCAGTCAAAAGCAGGACCTGTATTCCTGCAGCGCTCGGAGGAGGTACTTCTTGTCACTGCTGGGGACCTTCGTTGGCAGGCAAGAGAGTTCAGGCACCCCTCCTGACAGATGTGTGGCATCAGCACAATGTCACCCAGAGCCTCGATCCTGTTAACTTTGCATTCTTGGATTGAGGGAGCTGCCTCCAACTCTACTCAAGGGGGGCGTGTGCTTCAAGGAATGCCTCTCAAGGGAGATGGCGCTGAACATGGCAGCTCCCACCGCCCGAATCCATCGAGGAGACACCGCGGCAGCCCCACCCCTGGAATTGGGGGGGGGATATATCAGTGGCGACTGGCCAGTTTACCTACTGGATTTAGTAAGCTGGGACTAACAAATGGATTTAAGTCCAAATTAGCAAGTTTTTGTTTTTTGGGGGGGGCAGGGGTGAGGTGGGGAGGAGCCACATTACCAAACACCTTCACGTCTAAGGTGTTTTTGAGGATCAGGGCGGGACAGGTTCCATCCGGCAGAAATTCACACACAAATGGTTGCAGGCTTGGGAATCTGTGGCCAGAGGACAGCGAGGCCAGACCAATGGAAGCACGGCACACATCCTACAGGGAGAATAAGTAAGAGAGGCCACCGGAAGAGGCAGTTTACCTTTGAGGATTTCTGCACCTGGTCTCCGATGTAGATTTTCCGAAACTGCTCAAAGAAGCTCAGCATGGCCAGCTCCAGCTTCTCGTTGCCTGCCTGGGCCAGGCGTGAATCTGTCAGGTTCATAAGCTGAAGAACCCTAGGGGGGCAGCAAGGCAGACTTCCATCAGAGTCTCAGCCCACGGAAATGACGGACCAAGCAACGTGACAAGCAGAACACACCCAGAGCCAACCTTCTCCAGCTTGACTCTGGGGTTACATTTATATTTTTAAAAAGTGCAAGGAAAACCTGAAGTTCTGCAACTTTCAGGTCTTATTACAAATCTCCAGCTTCCTGGGCATCATGTATTTCTTCTTCTGATTCATGGGACAGAAGAGCAGGTGGCTCCTGTCACTCTTAGAAAAATCGTTGTACCCGGGCACTGACTTCCAAGGGCTGCTTCACTACCCCAAGCAGAACTCTCAAAATGACATGGCCTGTATGCAGAACACCAGAGTTGGACCTCGTACAGGAGATCCTACACGGGGATCTCCTGTACGATCTCCCCATGTTCATCCAGGGCCTCACCCTGAGCCATCCAGGAAATATTCCTTCCAGCTCTTCCTGGTACTACTGATGTCAACATGAGACGAGAGATGGTGCGACAGCAGAGGTGCACGGAGGCTGGCTGTTACCAACATCCCATCACTACAGGACTGGTTTTTAAAGGCTTAGGAATACAACAGTTCCTACCGACAAACCAATTCACCGTCCATCGCGTCCTGCTCATCCGTGCTGGCAAAGGAAACTCGGCCCCCGATCACAGCCCCAATGATGTAGACCAGCCATGTCAGGCGTCCTGAAACCAGAAGAGACTTGCACCTTGAGCCACAGAAACACCTCCCCCAAAAGCTCCGATGAAGACCTGGGAGGCTTTGCTGCTGTTACTCTGGGAAGGGCTCCAAGATCAGAACCGACTGGGTGCAGCAGGAGGCAGGATCCTTTTCCGTCTATAATCCACCCTGAAACATGACCCCCCCTCTCCTTTTAAAAACAACTGGGGTTGATGGGAGGAGAGAGAGAGAGAGAGAGAGAGAGAGAAAGGAGATTCCGCAGCCCTCCAAGCCCGTACCCTCCTGGACTGCTATGTCCACTGGAATGGCCGTCGCGCTCTGCAGCAGCTCCTGGTAGGACTGGGCCGACTGGTCAAAGAGCTGCACCAGGAGGGCGCACGTCTTCTCGTATTCACAACGCCCAATGGTGGACAGCTGGTCAAGCTGCTGCTGCACCAGACCCGTGTCGTCCAGGGGATCCTCCAGGCCGTCTCTGCACACGGAGGAAGCAGATAAAACCATTGTGCTTGCCAGAGTTTGACAAGAAGGGCCCCGAAGTGCAAATCATCTCCTTCCAGGGCCCAAGGACAGGTGGGCTGCCCACGGCCCTCTTTACCTCAGGATGATGTGCACCGACTCCAGTCTGGACGTGATGTAAGCTTTGGTGACTTCCGGCGTGTAGGTCTCCAGCATGTGTGGCTCTGTGGCTTTGACGTAAGGAACAGAGGCGGCGAGCCGCTGCCACAAACTCAACAAGTAGTGTACGCTGTTTGGCGCAAACTCCCAGTGCTGGATATGAAGAAAGGAAAGGAAACTGGTTGCCATTTTCACACTTGGAGGGGTGGAATGGGAACTGCCTGGGGCACTGCCACTCGAACACACGGCACATCAATTCAGGGTCTCCAAGAGACCGCTGAAGACAATGCCCGTCTTTCTACATGGGAGCCCAAGACCAGGCTCTGTAGCTGTGAAACCCCTTTCTGTCTCTACCATGTGCGAACAAAGCGCCTTCGCTCTCCTTCCTTTCTGTGCGGAGTGGTTGTTCTTGACGAGGCCCCTGACAGGGAAAAAGTGTCTCCCACAACCCGGCAGCTGTAATGAAAGGCATGCTCTTCTTTGTTCTCACTGTGTATGCTACGTCCCCTGCCCCGGTCCCTTGCTGCGTGGCCCCTATGGCTTCAGGATGCCATCCCTGCAAGGACCACCATGGGCCACGCTGGTGGCTCCGGCTCCTCCGAGGCACGAGGGCAGCCCGACCGACCCACCCCAGCTGAGCACCACTGGGTCCAGGTCGGCAGCAGCGCACGAGGGGCCCGGCTGCCTCAGGCCGCAACCGCTGCCCAATCAACTCTGACCCCTGTACCAAGAGCAAAACAAGCTTCTACCTGCAAGCTGGTCACTGTGAAGTTGGCAATAAGTCGGATCACCTCCGGATAGTTCTCCACTTTCACCAGCTCCCCCAGCTGGTAATTGCTTTTCAGCCGAGCAAGAAGACGACAAAACTCATGGTAGTTGTTTGGATCCGACAAGCTCTGAGAAAGAAAGTGGTGGAGCTGCAGTCAGGCCACCAGGCCCAAGGAATCGGCACGCACGCCCCCCCCCCAAGCTGGCAGCAGGTCCCACGCAACGAGGAGACTGCTCGGTCTATCTTGCTCATTGCTTGGCCCACCTTCTGCGCACACATGGTAGGCCAGCTATGGCCCAGAACTGCCTGCTGCTCGAGGAGACCTTACTTACTGGTGCAGCACTTTCCTCAGCCTTTCCAGGTTTGTGTTGTTACAGTATTAAACCATCAATTTTATGGTGTAAGAAGTTGCTTGAGAATTTCTCCTCTAATTTATTTTCAGCTACAAAGATGAATTCTAGCCTATTCAGCAGTTAGATGAGTCAACTTTGGAATAGTTGCTCCTGAGCAAAGCAAATGGCACCCATATGTCTTACAGATGGGTTTCAGAGTTTACCTCCTGGGTTAGAAAGTGTGGACTTTTTAGGATTTAGCTTTGTGTGCAGGAGAGGCCAGTCAATGGTTACATTTGGAAAATGAATACAGAAACCATGTATGTCTGAGAGCTGCTGTTCTTTTAAATGTGAGAGAAATCGAACTGCATCTGGCTGAACCTTAGGCTACCTCAGTCCCATGGAAGCCAAAACCTGAAATTTCTGCATGTTGTAGAAATGAAAGCTTTTAAAAATTTGTGCTGAACCGTGCTTTGCTCAACTACAGCCCTACCTGCCTTTGCAGAATTAAGCCCCGGTGTATTTAGAAGCCTCTCCTTACAGTTAAGCACGCACAGAATTCTTTCTGACATGTTTGATCATAACAAGCATGGGAAGACCCTTCTTTCCTAGGAGGGAGTGGCAAGGACAGCGATGCCCTTGAGGGGCAAGAGCAGAGACAGCAACACTGGAACTGGCCCTGGGAGGGACTGGAAGAGGGTTGTTTTCTACACATTCAGTGGCAGGATAATAATGCCAGTGCCTGAGCTATTTCTTAGAAGGGGACAAAGACAACAATAAGAGCCATCATAACAAAGAAGAACAAGGGAGATGAATAACACCTGCAGACTTTGTGCAAAATGTATGTCCCTTCTTTGCCTCTCCCTGTCTGGATGGTTAGCTTGTTCATCAGGCACCAGCAGTGTTCTGCTTTCTAGCGGCTCTCTCAAGAACGCCTGCATTTTGCTGGTTTTCAGAGAACCCACGCCCCATCTTCCAAGGTGGGTCATCATGACCGTACGCACAGAAGCTTGTTCCCACCCAAAGTTTGGACGGACAGACCTGGGGGTTTTCCAGTATTCGCTTGACACCATCGACGAGGTGAGAAAGGAACTTCGCTCTTTCTGCGTTGTTAAATAGGGACCTACGGACAGAAGCTATTTGTACTAGACACGATAAGACCTAAAAAGAAACAAGAAGGGGCCGGGGCGGGGGGCAGGGAGGAGAGAGAAACGGAGAATCATGTTGTGTTGCCCAGAAAAAAACAGCCAGGGAGATGGCTGGTCCCTGTGCTGGCACACACACAGCTCTGTCAGGGCAAAGGCGGCAGGAAGTCGACAGAAACAAGGCGGCAGCCTTTCAGTGTGGGAGCAGGGAGGAGAGAAGAGCTTCTTCTTGACCTCCAAGACAGGGAGGACCTCCGCCAGCCCCCCTTCCTCCAAGGAAATGTTACAGAAACGCCCGTGCCCCCAACCGCCAGGGAGGCCACACTCACCAGAGGTGAAAACGTAGGAGGGATTGAATGGTACAGGTCAAAAAACAGCTGCAACGTTGAGGAATCCAGAAAAGCTAGGAGAGAGACCAACATCACCTTACTATGGAGCCCCCAAAGTTAGCACATTGCAAAACAACTCTCTGGCAAGGCGGCTGAGCCCAGGGCAACCTGAAGCAGCCCTGGCATCTCAGCAGCACAGAGCAGTTCCCCTGCAAGAGATCCCAGGCATCGCCCCCACCTACCATAACCCCCCCACCACCTTCATGCCTCCTTTACACAGCCTCCCTGTGCCTTGTGCTGTTCTGAGGACATAATACATAGGACAGGATGCAGGACAGGTGAACGTCTTTAAGCCTCAGAAGAAGCCTTTCTGTACCCGAAGATACCCTGCCCCAGTGCAGACCCCATTCTCCTCTGCTGTTTTTTTAAAAGTTCCTTTTTTTGGAAATGCTTATTGAATTGGTAACAAAAAGAGAAAACCACAGTACAGTAGTTGTTTATAAATGTTTGGTTTTGGTTAATGAATATGGTATACAAAGTTTCAGAAGGTAATGAATGAAGAGCTGGACTGCCCTGTTCTGACAGATCAGTGCCTTGGGCTTCCGTATCAGCTTTGCCTCTCAAGCGGTGCCTTACTCTCTGTGGAAATAAGCTCTGTCTACCCAGTGGCCTTTTCCAATGAAAGCTTCAAGGAAGCTGACCACCTGCTGATGCTGGGAAGGGCCCCGATGCACGTGGGTCATCTTGCTGGGTCCAGTCACAGCTTCCCTTTTGCTTGATTCGTTTCGTTTAGTCGTTTAGTTGTGTCCGATTCTTCGTGATAGCAACTGCTTGATAGCAACTGCCAATATTAAATTTGCATTGGGGCAATCTTTACGTTTGGCATCACTACAAGAGCTCTTAAACTATCTACCTCCTCTTTTTTCCTGGAAGCTAACCAACTGTCAAGGCACATGGATTCCTAGTGAAGAACAAAATAACTGACATTGCAACAGAAGAAAGACTAGTGCCCGCCTTCTATGACCCGACAAGCCTTGCAACTCTTCCAGTGATTGAAAACAGAGCATACAGATGATAACATCAGATAGATATTTATCTAGATCTTTGGACGCTGTTTACTGAGGCTTATGCATGCATTTTCTCATTGTATTATGTTTCTAAACTTTTTCTGGCAAAATCCAAAGAACCAACCAAACCAAACTTTAAAAAAAAAGCATATGGGACTTTAAAGACTATTATCTTGGAATGGGAGCTTTTGTGGATCACGTCCACTTCAGACATATGGGGGGGGGAGGGGGGATGAAGCGGACACGATGCACAAAATTTCACATTGCAATATAATAGTTAGTCTTGAAGGTGCCACGTTTTTGTCCTGTCTTGTTTTATTTCTTTGGATTTTGCCTGATATGCTTGCACAGACTAACATGGCCGCCTCTTCCAAAACTAAACCTTGTTCTGTTATTCTTTATGCAGTCTATACTTGAAGGTGCCACGTTTTTGTCCTGTCTTGTTTTATTTCTTTGGATTTTGCCTGATATGCTTGCACAGACTAACATGGCCGCCTCTTCCAAAACTAAACCTTGTTCTGCAGTCTATAAACAACCCCCCCCCACACACACACACACACACTCCAAGGGGAGATCTATGATTGGAGCTTTCATGTTCTGTGAAATTTAGCTCAAACATGTTTAAGAAAAATCTCTGAAGTGCTGCCTTAAGGCCAACACTCACTGACACTGAGCAATATCTACCCCTCAGAGAGAGCAGGATGGTGGCCTTTTGAGCTTCCCTGTAATATTAAAACAAAACAAGACACCAAGCAGTTTCCTGAGGCCAGGCCCCCAGGAGCCATGCCTTTGCTTGTGCGCCATCTTTAAGCTCGGAGGTTCAGGCATCTCAAAAGCCACGGGGCAGAGCATGCGCACTCCATGGCGTACACCAACGCGGTTGCCTGCAAGTGACCCCCAGTGCCCTGGCAGATTCCGTTTGTTTGCCAAGTCTGAAAGCGAGGGCAAGGCCGGCTCCTCACCCGATCTCCAGCTGGTGGGGATCTGCACAGTGCAGAGATCGTCAGAGGACTCGTCCGTGGAGGTACCAATGAAGTCAAAGTTCAGGCAATTATGAGTCAGCTTGAGGAGCTGCATGAGGAGGCCGTGCTGGCTCTCGTCGTTCAAGTTCAGGGTTTTCCCCGAGGCCTATAAAAAGGGGGACATGTGACCAAAGTGAACCATCAAGCTAAGTTTAGAGCGAAAGAAAAGGTTTCAGGGTGGAAGGTGAGTGGCCTCATCTCAGAGCCCCTCTGCCAGAAGCTCCCACATGCTACACTCTTCCCATAATAAACTTTGCTTTCTCTTGGTGGAGAACAGCATAGTCAGAATTCAGTTTAACCCAAAGTTCTCCCCAATACCTGCCAGGCAATGCTTCTGGTTGTTCTAATCCCTGCCGGCTGAGTGAAGGCAGCCCGTGTCACTGTGACAAATGAGGCCTTCTGGGAGTTGTAGTCCAAGGACACCCAGGCTGGGAACCACTCTTCTAGGGCAAAGCCTCCCCCATCTAGTGCTAATTTACTGGAAGCTCTGAGTAAAACTAAACACAGCACAGTCGCCTCAACAGCGGAATGGGCTGGGATGACGAAGCCATGATGGTTACCCTAACAGACTGTGTACTTCCAGCTTCCTGGTTTGCCGTCCCAAACCAATAACCACGACAGACAAACAAAGAGGAACTGCCTTTCCGATCTCTCACAGATACATTCCAGGACCACCTCTTTGTTTTCAACAGCTTCTTTTTGGAACAGGATCAAATCTTGCAGTCAACCCAGCCTAACTGATTAAACTTAATTTGGCATAGATGTTTCCAATGTCCCAAGTTGCACAGACAGTTTCTGAGCCCTAAATCTGCAATGATCTTTCTGTAGCCAGAAAATGGCTGTTTCACATCCAAAGAATTAGGAATGTCAACATGCGTCTAAATTTCCAGAAGCCGTTCTTGCGGCTTCCTTACCTGTTTCAGTAAATTGCACGAGAGCGTGAAAATATCAAACAAAGAGGAATCGCGGAATGAAGACGCAATCTTCCTGTGCTTGGTCAGAGGGTGTGTAGTGTCTGCCTGAAGAGGAAGGGAGCAGGTGGGAAGGAAAAGAAAGAGTGACTGTCATTGGAATAGGAGAGCAAAAAAAGCACACCTTTTTGAAGGGATGGATGCCAAAGAGGGTCCCCAACCAGGACAAGACTCTGGCTGGACCCTCTGGAAGCCCCTTCACAGACTCTGAAGCAAAGTAGGCAGATCAAAGGATAATCCAGCAAAATGGCTCAACTTGCACACAGGACTGTGGAGAAGTTCAATTAAAGCAGCACTTGGGTGTGTGTGATTTATGCCCCACAATGTGTACAAAAGAAGATCCAGCAAATGGCTGAGATAACGCCATTGAAGTAGCCCACTTCGGATCAAAAACCATCTAATTATCTTAACATTTTCATTTGTTCTAAATTATACCTATGTTTCATATGAGTTCTTATTTTTAAACTGTGCAACACTCTGATATGAATAAAGAAAGGGAACTCAAGTGTGTGTTAAGCGAACGAAGGCTAGGTGCCCCAGGGGAACATGCCAATGAAGATAACAGTGGCCCAGCAGGGCATCCTGTGCTTTGCTTCTCTCATGAGTTACACAGAGATGACTCTCTTGTTCTGCATGACTCTAGGATAGTGGTCTCTCTACCGCTGTTAAATTTCTCTTGAATTGCCAATAAACGCTGTGCTTAACTGCCTAGATCTGCAATTTGTGAAAGTGGTTAACGGCTACCATCTGTCTCCACTGCTGAACAGAACTGTGAACAGGCATGTCTGCAGCCCTCCAAGTCTTTCTGACCTACAGGGGAAGCTTTGTCACAGGATGATGACCTCTGCAAAGGGAAGAGAGTCAGTCAATCCACCACCCATAAAGAAGGTCATCCCCATTCCAGCCCTACCTGGGAACCCAGCAATCACAAGGGATGAGCCCCACCTTTGCTCTTTAGCGGAATGACAGGTGACAATGAATTGAGACCAACAACAGAAGCACAAAGGGACCACTCGATACATCAGGGCTTCTAGAATCTAAAGGCAGGCAAAGCAAGCACCATGCAGGAACTGATAGATGGCATTAAAACAGTAAAGACAAGAAAACATGGTTTTTAAAACAATGAAGCCAGGGTCCTCCATTTGTAAGCCCCAAACAGTGCTCTTAACCATACGCTCTTTGGGAAGCCATGAACTCATCGTGCGGCTCTAAGCTGGAAGTACTTTGGCAGCATGTAACAATCAAGTTGAAGACATTCACATGCAATTTTGCTGCCTGGAGTAGAACATTCAATGCACTTTGGGACCTGCTTATCGAGTTAGGTGGTCCCTGTGCCGTCTGGTCCCTGCATTTCTGTTGCACTGCCCAAGGACTTTCTGCACAAGGTCAGCGCCAGCACTGGATCATGAACTTGTTCCAGAGAAGCTCACTCCAGAAGAGATCTGCCTGCCCTCCACTTCACTCCCCTGCCTGACCCCTGAAAGCCACTGTCTAAGCTTGATGAACTAGCCACAACAGAGGAGTTCATCTGTGCACTGTAACATAGACCAGTCCAGTCCAATTGGTGACATGCTATTTTTGTGGGAAAAGAGCACAGAAATAGCTGCAAGTGCGCACAACCCACCCGCCCACCCACCCACCAATTCCAAGGGCTGGCAGTGAGGGAGACGGGCAGAACCACCATGCTCTCTCCACCCAGCTTCCCTGCTGGGAAAAGGACCCTGTGATTCTGACAGGACGCCACTATAACACCCGCAGCCAGAAGGTGTGCAGCAACAAGTGCCTGGATGTGCTTTGCAGATGTTTGTCCTCAAGCATTCAGTACACAGCAGCATGCGAGGTTACAGACAACACCATTTGAGACCAGAACCCAGAAGACCCCCCCCCGTGTTCTTTGCCCCCCAACACCCTAAGGGTGAGGGGGCTGAAAGGGCTGCCCATGTGTTAGCAAAACAAAGTCTGGTCTGATGCTGTATCTCATGAGCTGCACCACCCAAAGGCCTCTCACATGAAAACATTCCTGTCCCTGTACAGGCTACAGGAAGGCCTGCCCTCAACTGCATAAGACTGCCCTGAAGAAAACACAGCCTTCCTTGTTTGAAACTCTTTCTCTCCTTTGCTGCTTTTAGAATTCACTTTCAGCTTACACTAGAAGTCTCCACGGCCGATCCCACGTGGCAGCTAAGAGTGAACTGTTAACCTACTAGTTTCCTTTTATCTGCTGATTCCTTCCTAGCCTCTGAGCTTTCACGACACTCATCGTCAAGAGTAAGAAGGTTTATTCCACCTTTGAAAAGCAGCAGCAGGTACACGAACTTGACGAGCTTGCAATTCTGAACATGGGAATCCACCCCCTGGCCCTGAAGAAATAGTGAACCTTGCTGGTGAAACTCTATTAGACCACTGTCACTCAAGCTGTTTCTAAAGGACTGGGGGACAAGGGAAGACCAGAGAGGACAAAGACTAAACTCCAGAGGAACAGGGTGGGGTTGGGGGTCAATTTCTTACCACCAAAGGACACGACTCTATAGACAAAAGACAAGGCACAGACACACAGCAAAATGAATGAGAAAAGTTGACACTTACTTCACTGAGGAAGGCTGAAGCACTTACTTGGTTAATTTCATTGGTTAGCTGAGAGAGGATTGTCACTCCGATGATACAGTGCTCCACACTATCCTGGAGAAGGAAGGGGCAGAGGCAGCCTGAGTTAGAAAGTATGGGCTGAGCCAGGCGCAGAGAGGACAGAGGCCACCCCCGCCAGAGAGGGGGAGCAGGAAAAGCATCCCTTGCGCAGAGATGTAGGGGCGCTGCGCTTGGATACATTTTGGGAGTCGTATTTAAAGCTTTTAATATTGTGCTTTTAAAGATATATGCCTTGGGTCCTTTTTTAAAAGGAAGAAGTCAGGGTCAAAGTATTTTAAATAAGCAAATTAAGAAAAAAATCTTCTTAATTTCTTGTTGTGAATCACCCTGAGGGGCAAAATAATATCTTAAACAAAGCTAACAGTCCTGGATGAGTAAAGGTTCCAATGGTGGACACACACACACACACAAATACTGTGGATGTTCACTCCCAGACCTTCCGCTGTGACAACAGCAAGACATTTCCAACAGAAGTTGCAAACCTGAAACTTGCACAGTTCCTTGGGAAAAGCTCGGTCAGCTAAAGGTCAGCTGCCAGCAGCAAGCACACACGCTTCAGTTTCAGGCCTGACATTTCCTAGGCAACCAGGGATTGTCCTGAGGTGAGGGGACACCTTTAGCTGGCCAGGTTGAAAGGGGGGGAGCAGGGGGACTTATGGCTCTCCACTATTAGCATATTTAACATTACCATCTTTGCTTCAGCAATGACAGTGAATTCCTAAACATGTCTCCAAGGTAAGTGACACAACACATGACTTTTCATTCATTTCCAAGCAATGTTCCAAGCTCTGGGCATTGCACAAATTGTCTTTGGGGTGAAGGAGTAACAAAAGCAGGAGACAGCCCACCTGTAAAAACCTTGTGACGTCAGTGATGACATTTCTGAAGACATATTCATCTTTCTGACAATCAAACCAGCCCAGCTTTGTGATCCTAGCATACAATTGGATTAGTGCTTGCGTCACAAACGTCGCCAGCTTAGGCCTGGTAGCCAGATAGTTGAGCACATAGTTTCCTGAAAGACAAAACACACACAACATCTCACTGAAAACAAGGGAGGTCTCCTCAGGATTTTATTGCTCTGTGGCTGCTTGTTATCAAGTTATCAAATTGCTATTTTAGTGCATTTTGTGATTGCTCAACTGTATTTCTTGCTATTAAACTTCATGTGTATGCTTAAGTTATCCTTTTGGCCTGCACTGTTGGCTGAGTTGAACTGGGGAAGACCTGAATTGGCTGACTTGAATTGGGAAAGAAAAACAGGGAATACAGGAGATGAAACAGACCCCATTCTTCTCAATCTGTCAGGTAACTTTTTTTCAAGCATGCTGGCAAAATTAAAGAGGGAAAAGGAAAAAAGAGAAAGAAAATTCAAAATATTGTGACATTTTAAAGGCCATCAGTGCCAGCCTTCATGGATCAAAATCCATTTCTTCTGACCTCTGCAGAGAGCTCCTAGTGAAATAAACATTAGTCTTTAAAGTCCCACAGTATTTTGCCTTTTCTTCCTTCCCCTCCTCCTTTACTTTGCCAGCACACTTAAGTTATCATTTTAGAACTGTTTACAAATAAAATTAGAGGCAATTAATGTTTCAACACAAATATCCTGAAGGACTGTGCTGGGAAAACCAAAAGAATCACAATTTAGAGGCTTTGCAATTAAACAACTCACTAGTAAAGGTATGCAGGTGAGTAGCTTTGGACTATAGCTCCCAAAATCCTATGCTGCTTAGGGGACAATGGGAACCGTAGTCCAAAACCACACATCTGCACAGTTCTGACTTCTGATCCAGGTGCTGAGCTGCTGGGCCAAATTCCTCATATGGTCTTTGCATCTTATAAGCTCCTCTGGCAACTATTTTAACCCTGGGCAGGCTGGAGCCAAACAACAGGAGAGGGTTTAGTTTTTACTTACGTATATCTATCCGCTGTTCCAAGGGCAAAGGGTTGTTTGTGCGCGACACCAGTTTCGTAAGGCATGTAGCTGCCAATAATTGGGAGTAAGATGACTATGAAAAGAAGCAAAGAAAAGGCAAAGGGTTCAGCCACTGGCCGGCAAAGGTCAACCTCCAAACTGACTGTTGAGGGAAAGGATGTCATTCTGATCACAACTCTCCATGAGGCTGGCCGGTCTTGCTCCTCACCAGGATTTATAGCTAGTGGAGGCAAGACTCCAGGAACAAACCGCATGGAAGAATAGGAGAGTTCCCCAAAGGTAAGGAAAGGAAGCAAGATTCAGGGAGTCTGCTAGGGATCCCTGTGTTGCCATTCTTGCTGCAGCATTCACCACACCGAACTGTTTTGTCCCCAAAGAGAGAGAGAAGGGTTTGGTTCTGTTGCTTTTGCCTAAAGATCTCATCTGTGAACAGGCTAAGGACGTTATCTCAATGTTGGCTGGCAACCATCCGAGCTTAATCAAGGCAGGGGCAGATAAAATGCTGCCTGTAGGACTACTTGTGGCCTCTCCAGACCACCCTCAACAACAACAAAAAAAATGCTCCTAAATTCAAATTGTGTCTGAGTGTGAATTGCTCCATACCTACCATTTCATCTCTTCTAGGGCCTCAAAGAATCATCGCCTAAAAGTATTAGGGACAGCTACATAATTATGAATGACAGTCAATTGAAGAAAAAGACTGCATAAAACAGAACTGGCAAAACAACTAATTGGTGGACTTTGCATTGTGATGCTTTTCAAGTAACTATTAATCAAACCAAATAATGATTTAAATCCAGTCTATGTGGACCAACAGTCTCCTAAAACTGTGTCTGGAGAGGTAATATAGACAAACCAGTTAGCCACCTTGAGTTCTCTTGAGGAGAAAGGCAAGATATAATTAATTAATTAACTGGGCCAGCCTGAAATAACTCATTCGTATGAACACAGTTATCAGACCTCAAGCCAAGAATTTTGTCAAGAGCTTTCATCCAAACACTCCCGAGGTCAAGGGAGAAGCCTCCAGGATGAACGTGGCCTGCCCTGAGGCTGTCGGGCACAACAGGTCACATGAGCAGCAGCAAGAGCCCCATCTGAGAGGACCATGAACATGCCTGTCTCATCGGGCACAACAGGTCACATGAGCAGCAGCCAGAGCCCCATCTGAGCAGCCAAATGAGGAAGACATCCTGCTGCATTTGCACATGGCTTGCAGAGGACCATGAACATGCCTGTGTCGATCTGTTACATCATGGAAGCCAACGTCCTGCCTCATATGAGCAACACCCCCTCATTCAACCCCACGAAAAGTCAAGGCCTCCCTCTCCCTCATACAACAGTAAGTACACAAGTGTGGGTTTTGTGACTCTTTGTTCCACATTGGCATCCTCAAGTTTACCCACCATCCCAGAATACAAACTACCTGTCAATGAAACTGTGTGCAAGGGAAGAGCTCTGCAGTGGGACAGGCAGGGCATCCTAACTGTGCCACTCCCCCCCTCAAAAGCCTCCCCAAGGAATTCTGCCCCTGCCTGTTGTTCCTGCCAGCCTGGGCCTGCCACCCCAGCTCAAAAGTAGCAGGGAAATATTGTTTTGGATGGGAGAACAACTAGTTCCCCATCCACCCCCATGCCAGATCTCTATTGCAAAACACTCCACTCTGGTTAATGTCACACAAATATGTAGCCTGGCCCTTAGACATCAAGTTCATTTTTGAAAGGAAAGCGGAGGGTAGGCCCGTCTGGCTCCATTTCCAACTACACCTTTAGGTTGAGGGTCAAGGAGTATCACCCAACATTACCCGAAGAGGGAACAGATCCCAGGAAGCACCACTGTGGTGATGCTGACCTCCCAGTTTACTGCTGCAAAGAGGGCATGCTTACAGAGCACCTGGCAGACTTTCTAGGCCCCAGAGCCTTCCTGTGCTGTCACAAGCACAGAACCTCAAATAGAGAGAGAACCTCGAGGTGTTCTGAAAGCGCATAGGGAGGGTTGTTTGCCTACGTACACTCCCTCTTTCCAGAAGAAGCTGGCACTTGTTCAAGCAGTCTGGGCTATTGGTAAACTCAACCAAGGCCTTCTCCGCCTGGATCCGCGTTGTGGTGTCAGTTGTCTCATAGAGCTGCTTGCACAGATTCTCTAGCTGGGCTAGACTCTGGAACAAACCAAAGAGAAGAACTCTGTTAGGATTTTTTTTTTTTGAGGGGGCTCTCTTACTGTTGGCACAGGATGCTACATTATGCAGTTTCAAACAGAATTCAAGCCTTAACATCAAAAGTGTCAAGTATTATCAGTAGTTGACTATAGTGTTTCTGGAAAGCTCAGATATGACGAAACAAGATTTTTAATACGATAGATCCAGGAAAACCTTGGTTCCTCTTCATCCACTAATATTCATTCTCATTACGAATTCCTAGCAGTCTGAATGTTACACTTTTTGATGTTTTAATGTCCATGAAATGTGCTGCTTCCTTAAATGGGTTGCCACCCACTCACTTTTAGAGAGAAAGTACGGTATGAGAAAAGGACTGAATAGCAGAGGACCCAACATTGACAGCACCTCTGAAAACACAAGTCATTCTTGGGGCCAGCGCTGCTCAGAATCAGTGCCTCTGAGCAAGGCAGGAAAAATTCCCTGCCCCTCGCCACAAATACCTGCTTGCAGGGACACCCCAGTATGAGGCACTGCAGTTCCTGAGTCAGGTCACACCACACAAAAAGATTCTAAGGAACAGACAAACAAGAAACCACAGCCCCATGGAGGCAAGGAAACCTGGAGTGCCTTTGATGAACTTGGAAATCCCTACAGAGAGAAAAACAGATGGACAGTCAAGAGTTCAAATCAGCCAAAACTTATTTTAGGACTGTATTTTTGCATTTTTAAAATATATTGGGCTAGGAAAAGTGTTTTTAAGAAGAAATATGTTTAGAAAGACACACAAACTGGAGCTATAGCAGTGAGAAACTGACTGTAATAAACTTCAAGGAAATATAGCCCAAGATTCAGCCAGGTATTGTTGTAGACCTGGCCTCTATATACTGTATGTGCAAAGGTGAAGAACATGAGGAGGTTCTCAGCCCACTCAGGAATAGTGAGCAGACATCTGCCTTTCCAGCGCTGCATCCTAAATCTTTTAGATACCAAAAGGGCATGAGAATCCAATTCTGCAGACAAAACATTGACACAGGAACAGGCAAGTCTGTAGAAATCGAAGACTCAAAAGAAAACTGAAGGTAATCTATCTCAGGGCATGAATTAAATCTGCCAACAATTAGCTGCTGTGCTCAAACTTTTACTGAATGAATGCTGTGCAGTCTAATAAACATGATACAAGCTGTCAATGTACAATTCATGGTTTAAAATCTGGATATAATCACTCAGAGTGGTCTTGTAGCCAGATGGGCACTACAGAAATTGAATGAATGAATGAATGAATACGTACGTACGTACGTACGTACCTCCATCCATCATGAAGGCCAATGCCAACATCTGCTGGTTAGGTTTTTTCAGTACTCAGTGAAGGCCTATCTGCCTGATCTCTTTATGCAAGCGAACAGGACAACAACCAGTCAAACATGGTCAGACCTTTGAAAATTTGAGTTGGTCTACATGAAAGGAGCATAATCATCTCTTGAAGCCTATTAGCAAGACTGGACGCTAATATTTGAGTATCTAAAATGTGGACGTTGAGTGTGTCCCCTGTTAGTTTTGGAGATGTTGGTAAAATAAGCCTCGTTCAATGAAGAATGCACAGAACTAGACTCAAAAATATCTTTCTACAAAAAAAATGGCTTTGGAATCAGTGGATCAGTTTAAGCCTCATACTTTTCAGTAAGAAGCCCACCTGGTGGTCCTGGGGACTTCCCAGTAATCATATTCTTAATTACATAACCCTCTTGATCACTTTGCATATTCTTACCGCTAGCAAATTTTTCCAATTAACAACAGTTCTTTAAAAAAAAACAGAACAATTTAACTCGTTTTGTGTTCTAAGCTTTCCACCCAACAACTGGTCAGCACTGGAGAGGGTTGACATGAGCATTTCCAAATGGCCAATTAATGAAGGCACACCGTTGAGGCAAAGAAAGGGAGGCAATTGCTCCTAACTATGGCTGAACAATACAAGTTCCTCGAACAAAGATAAAAAGAGTCCTGAGCGCAGCAGCTATGCAGGCGAAGAGCCCTGTGTATCACAGATAAGGCCTAATGGCCACGAGACAGCACGAAAGCTGTGAAGTGCCTGTCGAAGATGCCTACACAAACATTCCAAAATAAGATGGACCAGGTACAGTACTTGCTCTCCTCTTACCAAGTCACAGAATCTACCTCATACAGTGCTTTGTGTGCAGGAGCTCCTACCCTCTCAAAGCCTTACAGAGTCAGCAGCAGATTCTCATGGAAAAGCCAAGAGCAGAATCCTATCCATCCCTGGTGCTGAAGGAAGGCCCAAGAGGCCTCTTTGACGAGGCACAATCAAGTCTGCTGGGGACTCATGACACCAACCTTCTAGTTGGATACCAGTGACCTCCACCCCAGATGCTGATGGACAGCCTACAAACATTTGTGTCTGTATGAGTATCTCAACTGAGTACAGGAGGACAGGCTTAACTCCCCAGAAGACCTACAAAGAGATCTTTCTTGAAAACACTGAGAGGAGCAAGATTTATAAGCACTGCTGGTGATTACAGCTGCTAAAATATTATAAAAGTGCCATGAACTTTCAATGTCTTCAATAGTTCTTCAGAACTCAAAAGCTTATTCCACCTTTGTGCCAATTTCCATAATATTTTAGAGGTCTTACTTCAGGGTTAGTTTTTTTTTAATTGATGGAACCCGCAGCTACTTTTTTCCTGAGTCGTGCAAGTGTAATTCGAGGGCCCATCCACACGGCTCTCTGCTCCAGGGCTGAGACAGTCCCATCCTTCTTCTAGGTGAGGGACAAGCAAAAGTTAATGGACTGGAGCTCCCATTAGCCTCAACTGGTGGTGAGGCAGCAACGGCTGGAGGGTCACATTCTGCTCATCCTTGTTCTATAGCAGATGCCTTGCAAAATCCTGTTGCCATAACTTCGTGCTGGCATAATGCAGAATTTGAAAATTTCCTATCCATGTCCTTTTAGGTTCTAAGGTACCCTAGGTCTCCCTTGCTGCCAGTGTGTAGTGAATAGGGAAACAGACTTTGGGTTCAAATCCCCTTGTGGCCAAGGAAGCTCACTGATGGTGTGTGTGTGTGGAACTGTTAAAACCACTCGTTAAATATCTCACCTATCCTAAAAGCCCTACTAGAGCCATTATACATAGGTTCTGACTTGATGGCATATCACATGATGTAACTTCCTACAGCTAGATGATGGAAGCCTTGTTTTCAAACCTCAAATGTATTCTCAAAGGGCCAACTCAGTTTCTAAAAAATTATTTCCACAAACAGAGAGGATAAGAATAGCTCAGAAAAGACACCTGAAGCCAGAAAGATGGGCAAACTACATAACAGCTCAGAGGTTCCCCTGAAGAATGAGAGGTTTACACCAAAAATATGAAGTCTAGAGTTCTCTGCTGAAAGATGACCAACAATCAAGGTAGATAAAAATCAATGTTGTTTTTTAAAAAATCTAATTGATTTAAATCACAAATTATTTTTAGATTTAAATCAAACCCACCCTGCCAACAACTGATAGGAAGCAATCACTAGGAATTCCCCACTGATTAGGTTAGTCTCAAAAGTACTGGAAAATACAAATGTTAACCCAAATGCTTCATCTGGCATTCATTACCAAGTGGGCAGCAGCAGCTGATCTACATACTAACTACACCACTGTGGTCTGTAAAGTGGACTTTGAAGTGACAGGCCCTGGCAGAAATCTCTATTGGATCAATAGCTATTGGCAAGTTACTTTCTCTTAGATCAGCCATCTCAGAAACGACATGAAAGGAGATATGCAAGACCCTTCATGTCCAAAGATGCAACGGAGGACGACTTCATTTCATTACAAATGTTATTAACTTGCTATATAACAAACACAGAAACAAAAGTTAGTCTGTGATACCTTGAAGTCTGACAGGTTTATTTCAGTCTGAGTTTTTATAGATTGCTATCCCTTTCTCCAAAATTCACCTAATCTCACAGAAATAAATTTATTATGTCTTCAAGGTGCCAAAATATTTTTGGCTTTATTTTTGTTTGACCTTGTTATACATGAGGAAATAGACAAACCTTTAGGAAACTTGAGAATTTCTTAGGAAACTGCTGAAATAATTGAGGTTTTGTTTATTCTTTTCTCCAAAACTCTAGTGACAATGAAAGAAAGGAGCACATCACTGACTACTTGTGTGATAACCACCAGCCCTCATGATGCTGCTTGTGTTGCTGTGTAGATGCAGCAGTGATATGGACAGGGTTACTACTCTGTCAAGCCTGCGGTGCTCAGAGGGCAATACAGCATGATTTTAAAAAGCTACTGTACTGCTGCCCAAAGTTGAACAGAAGTGTGACAAAATGAGGAGAAGTGTCAGCTCATCAGTACCTAAGACTACACCGACTGACATACGATCTGGCTTTGGAAGAAAACTTTGCATTGGGGAACTGGAATGGTCAAGCAGCACAACAAGACAAGACTCAACAGCCACACTTTCCAAGCATGGCTGCATCAAGCCATACTGTGCATGTGCATTACATAAGCTTCACATGCAAAGCACAGTTTGTAAGGGCTACCAGAAAATACATCAAACTTTTCTCCACATGCTGTGGCAACTTTTACTTCACAGCCAGCCCACCTTTTCCTCATAATGGGATGGAGGACAGATGAAGCTCCTTTGTTAGACCTCCCAAATAAAAAACCAAACACGCGTTCATAAAGTGCTATGTTGTCTGGAAAGCCAGGAGTAAAGGAGGCACGGAATCCCCAGCATCCTTTGCCAGCCTGTTGTGCTTCTGAAGAGCATGGAGCACAGAAGCTGGTAGGAGAGGAGCAGAACACACTATGGTTGTGCTGCCAGGCCTTTTTGTTTCTGTTTGCCTGCTGCAATCCTAGCCCAGGAACACAAGGGTGGCAGCAAGCAGGGGTCCTTCTTCCATGCACCACCACCTTTCTCTGGATCTTGTGCACCTTGTGGTCCACTTTGACCTCCTGTTGACAAAAGCCTGGGCTAGCTGGCTGCAGTCCGTTTCATGGCTCAAAAGCTGTGCATGGTTGCATTAAAGGAAAACTTCTGTAGATCAGAAACGAAAGATGCCAAAACACTGTCTAGCCCAGTGTGCTCCTGTACTGCATGGCCCTCCACCATCAGATCATCATTACCATTGCCATCAACTAGCTGATGTCCAAGCTGTATCATGGTGGTATGACACAAATTGGCACGTATCCACAAAACAAACATTACAGACATCAAGCTACATACCAATGAAAGGAGCAAGAATCTCAACATCACCATCCAACCCAAACACATACAGGAGCTATTCCAAACAGCATTTTATTGAGGAATAAGTTTAAACCAGCCTACATCCTGCTGAAGATAACAAAATCTCTCCTTAAAAAAAGGAGAAACCCCTTATAAAATGCTTACGTTATGACATCCCATGAAGAAGAAAAGGAATATGCTACTGAAACAGCCACTAGTTCGTCACTAGTTAAATTAATCAGTATCTGCTCTGTGCTGCATTCACATACTAAATGGACTAAAAACAGAAGTGAAAGACACATTTGCATTATTTATTCATTCGTCCTAAGTCAGCATTACATCTAGAAGGGAAATGTGGTAAAACACATACACAGGGCATCACCTCTGATCTGTAACTTCCTTCCTATTACTGTATCCAGTTCAAGACTGGCCTTCAGACTTAAGAGTCATCCACACATTCTATAATGACTTTTTTCCCCATGCAAAAGGACCCACTGGGGCACTGATGTGGATGAGAGGTTAAGTGAACCCCATCTGCCAGCCCTGCCAAGGATCGCCTGCATGCTCACCAGTGGCAAATAAAACCGATCTTCAAGCTTGAAAGCCATTTTAAAAAGAGAAAGGTAATTTTCTTTTTTTTTTCTTTCAGGACACCAAGCAGCTAACGTTACTTATGTCAGCCAGTGAAAGAGATGCTGCTCATACTCAACTAATATCATTTAGACAATCAGATTTTGCTTTGCTCAAGGTGAGCATCTTTTTCCTGAAATATATCAACAGGCTTGTTGTTTTACTCAAGAGCGAATCTGAGCCCCAACCCCACCTCCTTGCTGGTAAGGTAATTTTCTTGGGAAGGACCTGAGCCTGGGAAGGACCTGAGCAGCAGCAGCAGAGCAATTCCTTTGTATAGAAGAGGATGATGACCCCGGTTTTCATTCTGGGCACTCCAACTTCAACGGGCAGTTAGGGACGGAGTCAGTACCGGCCCAGTAACCCTTCTGCTGGTGAGCACGGAGGCTGCAGGACGCATCCCTGAACCGGGGGTTCAGGCGATTTCCCCCACCTTGGGAGCAAACCTCAGGGGAAGCCACGAGCTGCTTTGTAATCCCTCTCCAGCCCAGAGCCCTCTGATGAAGAGCCCAGTCCTCCAAGCGAGGGGAGCTCCGAAGGACTCTCGGCCCGAAAGGCCTCCCTCCGACGCCAACTTCAACGCCGCCACCCCGCGAGGGAGGGAAGGGGACGGAGCTTTTGCCGGCCCCCCGCTCGCAGCGCCCAAGAGAAGCCCGCAGGGGGCTCCTTTCCCGCCGGGGCCGGGCCGGGCCGGGCTCCCTCTCCGCCCTGCCTCCAGAGCACGGCGGGGGCCGC